GAAATAATAACCCAGGTAAGTTCCTGTCACTATAATAATTATTAATAAATGAATGATCATACATCCTCTAAAACTGCACGTCACGGCTACGTAGTCGCTATATAACAATGGAAACAATCCAAATGAAAAATATTTTAACGGAATAGTCTGATCTGTTCTTTTCTTTCGCTTTTCACTGCGCATGACAACTCGACACATATCTGAAACTAGAAAAAAACGCTATCAAAACTAAAGCGCTACATAACATACGTGCTTAGATATGTTAGGGCATTTGATCAAAAATAAGACTATATACGGTGCATAACGTCATAGGTGTTTATTGTTTACTTTTTTCAACTTCAATGCGCTAATCTCGAATTTTAACTTATTATAATCATTTACTATGTAATAATTGACATAACTTAATTTGTAAGTAAATAATTTTGCAATAAACAAATACAATGCGAATTTGAACAACAAAACTAGTACCTTAAAAAGAAAAGCAAATATTTGACACTTTGATAACTGATTTTTTAACAGAGTTGTCAATAAATAAAAAATTGATAGTTTATTAAAACATAAAATTACGTTGCGAAATAGCGATCCAATTGTACATACTTGTAAAATTAGTTAAAATGATGGTTATTTGGTTGTTGATTTTATAATAGCAAAAGAAATAATTTAAAAATTTATTATTTAATTATTATTTAAATTCTGTTTGTTAAATGGGGAATTTCGATTTTGGATATCCATGTTCCGTATATATCATAAATAATTGTTTGGCTTTAAAAATTCAAATAATTTTCTTGTTAATTTCAAGCTATTCGGTTAAATAACTTTAGTTGTTTATAACTTTATGAGATGATTTTGCCGTATTTAGATCATAAAATTCAGCGTGTTCAACTTAATTTTTTAAATTACAAAATTTTCCCTTCGCGTGCGTGAGTTCGTGACAAAACTTGTTTAAAGTAGGTGCAAGTTTGCGAAAAAAGCGCTGTAAGAGCTACCCAGCGTAAAAAAGGACTTCTTTCATAATTATAAATTTGCTCGTCGCTACAACAAGAGGGAATTCCTACCTTGCTTGGCAGCACGAGCACTGAACATATGACATAAAGTCTCAGCTATTTCCCAAGATACGTTTCATTATTTAGTGGTCAGTCTCGCTACTATCCTACTATACACGATAGTCTACGAGCTCAACTCATAAGACCATTTCTCTTGTGAGAAAAAAATAGCCTTAGACTATTTCCTCTAACTATTATAATATTAGAGCCTAGAAACTCAGCTAAGTTTTATTGTGGCGCTGACTGGCTTTTCCTAGATAGATGCGATAATATTTAGCAAAAATTCAACAGGCACATCGAAGTCGTGAACCGAGTCGAATCAGACTACTTTCATTGCTTGATGATTGAATTTTCATACTATCTTTGAAATCCATTCACTTTCTGTCGTAAGTCAGCGAAGACTGTTATCCTCGCAGCTCGACTTTGAGTGGTGAATTTCCAAAGGTTTCAATAGTGATTGTTGACGTTCATGAAAGAACACTTTAATCACTAGAAGTAAACCACAAACAACTATTATGTTAATTATTTCGAGTATCGATTATTATATGTCAACTTCTTGCTTGCTCTTGGAAATATAATTTGCAATATATCTTAGAGCTCGAACTTATTTGTACTTACAGTATTTATTTACTGACCGATTTATAAAAATATTATGTTTGATCCTCTATATATTTCATGCAATATTAATGTTTTATGGTAATAATAATCTGGTTTCTATATTCTTTTTTTTGTGGACAATAATAATGTAATGAAATTTTCTAAGTAACCTTACGTGCTCTAGGTTGCCAAACTCAACTTTGAGATGTAACTAACAAAAATAAAAATGAAAAGATTTTAGTTCCGACATACGGGAGATAAAGTAATATACGACTGCACTGATTCACAGTTAGAATGTGTCTACTTGGGCGATGCGCTCTCGTTGGTACCGTTTTACGCTTACATACGAGGGTGGTCCGATAAGTACTTAGCCTACAAAAGAAAAACGAAAATTTTGGAAAAGTGGCGTTTTATTTTTCAACATAGTCTCCTTTTAGTTGGCTCAGCGATGTTCCAACTTCTTTAACCCGTCTGAAAAATACGTTTCCTCGAGGTCTGAAAAGTAGGCTTCCGTGGAAGCGATTACCTCCTCATTCGACTCAAATTTCTGCCCGGCGAGTGACTTTTTCAAGTTTGGAAACAAAAAGAAGTCGCACGGGGCTAAATCTGGAGAATATGGTGGATGGGGCAGCAGTTCGTAGCCTAATTCGACTAATTTGGCTATGGCGATGGCGGAGTTGTGAGCCGGTGTGTTGTAATGGTGGAAGAGAACTTTTTTCTTCGCCAAATGGGGCCGTTTTTTCTGCAATTCGACGTCGAATCGGTCCAATAATTCGACATAGTACAGCCCTGTGACCGTTTTGCCCCTCTCCAGGTAGTCGATGTAGATCAAACTTTGTGAATCCCAGAAAACGGTGGCTATCACCTTTTCGGCTGATGGGGCAGTCTTCGCCTTCTTCGGAGCACTTTCGCCGGGTAAAGTCCACTGTTTCGACTGTTCCTTGGTCTCTGGTGTATACCAGTGGATCTATGTTTCGTCGACTGTCACGAAACGACGCAGAAACTCCTTCGGATTGCGCTTAAACAGCGTCAGACATTGCTCTGAAGTTGTCTCACGTTGCGCTTGTTGTCCGGAGTGAGCGAACGCGGCACCCATCGCGCCGACAGCTTTCTCATGCCCAAAATTTCATGCAGGATATGACCCACGCGGTCTTTTGAGATGCCTACGATCTTAGCTATCTCGCGCACCTTCAATCGTTGATCTGCCAATACGAGATCGTCAATTTTTGTCGTGTTATCCTCCGTGGTAGCCGTTTTCGGAGCACCTGAACGTGGCTCTTCAAAAATCGACGTGCGACCACGTTGAAACTCGTTAAACCAATTTTTGACGGTCGCCATCGAAGGAGTAGAGTCACCGAACACAGCATCCAAGCGCTTTTTGATTTCCCTTCCAAAAACAAGAATCGAATCACCGACCGATACTGCTGTTTTTCCACTTTTCAAAAATCAACGGACACACTTGCTTTCACACGCTCTCAAAAATAAACTACAACTCCGATCCGGCTGAAATCTTGACAGTAACCATCGAGAAGGTTGTACTACGTGATAGAATATTTCTTTTGCGAGAGTGGCCACCATAGCGGTGAGGCTAAGTACTTATCGGACCACCCTTGTACATTCCCCCTCTTTGTTTCGAATAATCAGTCAGCCTACCCAAGACACATGCGCTTGCCTCAGTATCGTGTTAATGCAACGCTACGTCTTTATCTGTGTAAAGGTTTACCTTGGTGATTTTGAAGTATAGGCAGCCTTTTCCTTGCATCAGTTTCTAAAATTCAGTCACTTCTTCATTTAATTCACGCTACAAGATAATAAATTATATATATATATATATATACAGTGCCGGTCAGCCACTTTTACCCCCCTCCACGGGCAAAATCAGTCTAACTTCAAAGTTTTATATCTCTGGTAGAAATTAACGTACAGAGATGCGCGTGGATGCGTTTGAAAGGTCTTTCGGAGAGCTTTCAAATGATATGACTCACGGTTGCCATCGATTGTTTTTTTAAATTTTGCAACAATTATGCAAAATTGAAAATTCTGAAATTTTTTTATTATTTTTGACAATTAGCCAATTTTGGAAAAAAAATCGTACGAAAATTTGAAGTACACCATTTTTTAGCTATTACCAAGCCCTATCTGAATCACTCATCAAAAATTTATTTTCGTCAAATATGACGCGCGCACGGGCATTTTTTCCTGGAAGTGACAGTTTTTTTCAACATTTTTTATCTCCGTCAAATTGTAACAATCGAAAAAAATTTATAGGAGAAAAAATGTTTGTTTTTTCACGTAGAATACTGCAATAATTTTTTTTTCGGTTTTTCGAAAAATTTTTTTTTTCGGTTTTTTTCAATTTTTTTCTCACAGTCGGTACGCTAAAAAGATGAGAAACCACAAAAAAAATTTTTTTCCACCCATTTAATAATACTACATAACAAGTATCGTAAATTACATAAAAAAAAATCTTTTTTTTTCGACCTTGAAAAATAATTTTATCAATAAATAAATGAAATAGCAACAAATGTGAAGTCAGAAATTTTTTTTAATTCACATAAAGCAATAACTACGTATTATAAATTTACTTCAGATGTTAAGTTGGAAATGATTACTTGTTTCATAGAGAATATGTACTATCTAACACGCTGATTAATACTAGCAGTATTTACAAACAAAGTGATATCCCTACTTTCATCAAATCAAACATACTTCTACAAATATTTCTGTACTTCTGATCACAAGCTTATCAGTCGGTAGCAAACAGTTACAGTATGAGTAACTATTTGTGTAGTGTCTATGTATTGTGACCATGGCAAAATCGAGGAATTTAACTGTGCGTGAACGTAATAGCATTATTGCACTATACGAACTCAATATGAGTCACCATGCAATTTCAAAAAAGTTGAACATAGACAGGCATACAGTGGCATATAACATCAAAAAATTCCATGAAACAGGTACTGTACAAAATCGACGCTCACAGTGAAGAAGGAAAACTACTGTTAAAGAAGATAACTATATTTGCCAAAAAAGTGTACGTAATCGAAAGTTAAGAGCTCCTCAAATAACTGCTCATGTTAACGAACATTTAGAGAAATCCGTGAGTGTAAGCACCGTACAAAGACGTCTAAGAGAAAAAGGACTGTTTGGTCGAGTTGCCGTTAAAAAACCTTTACTGCGATGTGTGAATAAAAGGAAACGTCTACAGTGGGCAAGAGCACACAGAAACTGGACGATCGCCGATTGGAAAAAAGTTCTTTGGTCCGATGAATCGAAGTTTAAAATTTTTGGGAATAAAAGGAGAGTCTACGTAAGAAGGAGAGCTCATGAGAAATACAATAACGATTGTTTAATTCCAAGTGTTAAGCATGGTGGCGGCTTGGTCATGGTATGGGGATGTTTTGCTGGTTCAAATGTAGGCGATATCGTTAAAATTGATGGAATTTTGAACAAAGAAGGTTACAAAAAAATTCTCCAATACCATGCAGTAAAATCAGGTTTGCGATTAGTTGGACAACCTTTTGAATTCCAACACGATAACGACCCTAAGCATACATCAACGATATGCAAAAATTATTTATCTAATTTAGAAAAACAAAAGAAGCTAAAAGTTATGCAGTGGCCACCTCAGTCGCCTGATTTGAACCCCATTGAATTACTATGGGAAGAACTCGATCGAGCCGTGAGAAAAAATAGTCCAAGTTCTGCCACTAATTTATGGGAAGTATTGAAAAGAGAGTGGGTAAACATCAAACAGGAGACTTTAGATAAACTGGTTGCCAGAATGCCAAGAATCTGTAAAGCAGTGATTAAGCACAAAGGAGGACATTTTGATGAAAAAAAAGTTTAATTTATTCTGATTATTGTATGGATATTTATGTATTTATTAATTGAACGTTTAATATTGTTACTTGATATTGAAGCATTATGAATTGTATTTACGTATTCCAACATTATTAAGATTGAAAAAAATTAAGACGCGTTAATCCAATTATATCGGTGCTATTTTGATAATTGAAGTATTTAGTCTATGTAAATATTATTATGTGAATTTATAATACGTAGTTATTGCTTTGTATACATTAAAAATATTTTCTGACTTCACATTTGTTGCTATTTCATTTATTTATTGATAAAATTATTTTTCAAGGTCGAAAAAAAAAGATTTTTTTTTTATGTAATTTACGATACTTGTTATGTAGTATTATTAAATGGGTGGAAAAAAATTTTTTTTTGTGGTTTTTCATCTTTTTAGCGTACCGACTGTGAGAAAAAAAAATTGAAAAAAACCGAAAAAAAAAATTTTTCGAAAAACCGAAAAAAAAATTATTGCAGTATTCTACGTGAAAAAACAAACATTTTTTCTCCTATAAATTTTTTTCGATTGTTACAATTTGACGGAGATAAAAAATGTTGAAAAAAACTGTCACTTCCAGGAAAAACTGCCTGTGCGCGCGTCATATTTGACGAAAATAAATTTTTGATGAGTGATTCAGATAGGGCTTGGTAATAGCTAAAAAATGGTGTACTTCAAATTTTCGTACGATTTTTTTTCCAAAATTGGCTAATTGTCAAAAATAATAAAAAAATTTCAGAATTTTCAATTTTGCATAATTGTTGCAAAATTTAAAAAAACAATCGATGGCAACCGTGAGTCATATCATTTGAAAGCTCTCCGAAAGACCTTTCAAACGCATCCACGCGCGTCTCTGTACGTTAATTTCTACCAGAGATATAAAACTTTGAAGTTAGACTGATTTTGCCCGTGGAGGGGGGTAAAAGTGGCTGACCGGCACTGTATGTGTGTGTGTGTGTGTGTCTGTGTGTGTGTATGTTCATACTCGGTTCCGACGACTTTTTATAGATTCATATTTTTTATTAATCTATAATAATTTCAACTCAATTATAGCAAAAACATACTTCTGAAACGTATGCGGGTAAGACGATTTTAATCTATAAGTCCTCTAAAGTGGTTTATTTTCCCCATCCCAAATCTATAAAAATATATTCTATTGTCGATCGAACATTGTACCTAAATCAGTAGAAATTACAAACACGATTTACATTTGGTATGTAGGTACATACATTAATTATTTTCATCACAATCGAATTAACATGATGCATATAGCAGATGGCCTAACGATGTAAAAATAGGGAATGAATTAAATCCTACAACCCGCATATCCGTCCAATATATATCGTATATATCATTAGTAAACGATATTACTTAAAATGAATATGCTCTAAAAACGACCAAAGTTCAATTATAAACAGCTATAAAAAATAGGTCCCTAACGACATTAATTCATCAAAATAGATTAAGAATAATAGTATTTACATATTTGCTGGCCAGGGTCTAATTGCTATAGGTTAATTGACATTCTGTCTATAAGTGAAACAACACTTTGTAAAACGTTGATAATTTAAAAGACGTTTCGTTCATTTAGAAAAATGAAGGGTTAATTCCATTTCTCTAATGTATTAGATAGCTAGTACCTCAGAGTATTTATGTGGAGCGAACGATCAGAAAAGATCGGCTGCTAATGTAGGCTACCGAAAATGATAAAAATGATGAATTTAATGAATTGCTTTATTTTAGATCATCGTTACGAGAACTTCGGTTTCGCATAAAGAGCGTTCACTCGACATGCGTTTAAAAAATATGATATTAACTAATGTCGCTCAAGCCGCATATATAGATCAATACAGATAGCATATATTAGTAGTAAACGATGTGAATCAACGTGAAAATGATCTAAGCCGATCAAAGTTCAGTTATATAATGTGTAATGTGGCACATTACAAGGCCTTTCCTGAGTGCTGCATTATTTGCAACACCTCAGAAAGGCCATACCCGTCCCTTGCTGCCCCGTAACCGGTTGTTTAAAATAAAGCTAAACACGCCCTATACCGAACAATTACTTTCTTTTATGTCCGAACGACCACGCCGGAGATATGGAGGAAACAAACGGTCTAACGCGATCCGACGGACGCTCAAAGAGCAGACAAAAAAAAAGGAGCGCACCACAGAAAAAGAGAGCGCACGCACACACTCATATACACTCCCGACCACGTGTTGCCGACCGGCAAAAGAAATGCAAAACTTGACTGGGAAATGCAACGGAAATGCATGTTGATGACACATGCAGATCCGTTACACTCCCAGGCACCAACACTAACACTCTCGAGGCACAGACACTCCTGGGGCGAGCAGAAAATCGCCGATGAAGTGGCAGCCGGCAATCAGCTGTGTCGGGCTGCCGAACACCATCGGCGACATCCTGAGCGCCACACACACAAATATCAGCAGCCACACACACAAACACCCGGAGGAACATCACAGAACCGACACGGGAGCGCCCCAGGAGGCGCTCCAACAACCGGCGCAAGGACACGAGACGTACGCGCGAGAAACTGAGCGGCCATCTTGAAGCGCCGATATAGACTGAGAGCGAGCGAGCGAGACAGACTGAGACAGAGCGAGCGAGACAGAGCGAGCGAAGCAGACTAAACAAGAGCGAGCGAGACAGACTATTTAAAATAATAGATAGAATAATATGTAAATGCGAAGATGAGGGCGCTACGAATAAAACGGCGTATATTATACAGGTTGATTCTGAAACATATGAAGAGTTTGGTACTATTCGATTCGTTTTGAAAAATGGAATAAGATGGCACAGTTAAAATTTTTATTTAATAATTAGTCAATTAGATAATCGCGATTGAATGTCAGCCAATGAGCGGCTGGCTACGGCCGACGGGCCGCGCGACGGCGAGTCGCGACGGAGAAGGGAGGTCGACTCGTGCATGTTATTCAACAGGTGACAGAAGTGCTCAACTCTTGACCTGTTACTGCTAGCAGCCGTTATGTTGACGTATTTTGATATTATGAATATCAATAATAATATGGATAAAATTATTAAAAAATACGTTGCAATGTAATAATGCATTACATTGTTTTGTATCGTAAAAAAACATGAATTTTATGAAATCAATAAAAACATGTGTACTACATGCGCTTTTACGAAAATATTGCACATTGTGCAATTACTTGCATGTTTAATAAACGCATATTAAACTATACGAATAGTTACAATAGGCATTACTTACATTGTAGCTACATACAATACAATACGTGAAATACATTTTTCAAACAAACAATCAATCAATCAATCAATAAATTGATTAATTAATGGTCTGCATTAGTTGCAATAGGGTAATGGATTTAACGCTATTTATTTAATTATTTCAACTTAAGCATCGAATTTTCGATAGTTCAAGGATTTGAATATTTTGTAATATGCAAACTCTCAAACAGTCAAACATCAATAGTTCCAAACAAATGAATAGTAATGTTTTTTTTTTGCTATTCATTTGTTCATTACTATTGATAGACTTAGTTGCAAAATTTTCTTGACACGGTGTACTCCATCGTTGCAAAATGGCAAGAAGAAATGCTTATTCCAACGAGGAGTACACCGATATGGTGTTGTGCTTGGGCTGGGCTGAGGGTAATGCGAATGCAGCTGCTCGACGGTACGCTGAGCTTTACCCTCTCAGAGCACAACACCCTAATCCTCGGACGATAGAAAATACCGTGAGGAGGTTGAGGGAAACGGGCAGTGTCGTGGTCAGGAATCCTGATGGAGGACGCCAACGCCAACGCGATCGCCTTCATGACCCTATCGTCGCAGCTTTCGCCGCCGATCCGACAGACAGCTTGCGATCTGTTTCGCGGCAAGTCTCGGCGGCGTTAGGTGTGGCGTGTTCGTACATCACTGTACAACGGGTCATGAAGGATGATGGTGAACATGCGTATCATCTCCGGCGAGTGCAGTCACTAGGTAAGTGCATAATTTGTTATTTATAGCGGTTATGTATTCGCATGTAACGACAGGAGGTCGATCCTGTAGTAACTTTGATATGCTGACGGACACAGTATTTATTTTTATGTTTTGATCAATTATATCTCGGTTTGTATTAAAGACAATGGACCGTTTAATCATTTATTAGAACCTGGAGATCCGCAACAGAGATTGAGGTACTGTCATTGGCTTGTGGGCGCGGTTGACGAAGATCCTAACATCTTGGATCGTATTTTATGGACGGATGAATCCACTTTCGGGCGAATCGGAATGTTCAACCAACACAATGAACATGTGTGGGCCCACGAGAATCCATTTGCGGTGCGAGAAGGTATATTTTAAGAATAATATTGTATTTGCTTGCACAACAATAATATTTAACAATATTTTTCAACATAATTTAGATCGTTCGCAGCATAGATATGCCGTAAATGTATGGGCTGGTGTGATTCGTGACCGAATTGTGGGTCCATTCCGTCTACCGCGAAACCTCAATGCTGGTGCGTACCTCGATTTTCTGCAACATGATCTGCCAGCTCTTCTAGATGACGTCCTCCCAGATCAAAATAACATCATCCTGATGCACGACGGAGCCCCAGCCCACTTTGCGCAGCCTGTCCAGGACCACCTCGACGAGGTAATTGATTACTGTTTGTTTTTTATTAATTTATAAAAAAAAGTATACTGATTTCTATGTTTTTCCAGTCTTACCCTGAGTGGATAGGCCGTGGTGGTACCGTAGAATGGCCAGCACGTTCCCCAGATCATAATCCATTGGATTATTATGTTTGGGGAACGTGCAAAGAGGCCATCTACTCTAACGGTCCACCTGGCAACGCAGATGGATGCTGGCAGGCTCTTCAAGAGTGGGCAGAAAATGTGGCCCCCGATCAAATACATAGAGCGACGCTCCAAGTTTTACGAAGAGCTCGCCTATGTATACAAATGGATGGGGGCCACTTTGAACAATGCATGAAGGCAGGGGGGGATCCTGGTGATGGAGTAGGCGACGAGGAGCTTGAGAGGGATCCAGAAGATGATAACGATCCAGACTGGGAGATGGACGAATAGAAAGAGGTAAGTCGTAGAAAAGTCGTAGAAAAGTCGTAGAAAAGTCGTAGAAAAGTCGTAGAAAAGTCGTAGAAAAGTCGTAAAAAAGTCGTAAAAAAGTCGTAAAAAAGTCGTAATAAAGTCGTAAAAAAGTCGTAAACAAAGTTGTTGGGTTATTGTGTTTATTGGGTTCGTAGAAAAGTCGTAAGCAAAGTTGTTGGGTTATTAGGTTAAAGAAAAAAGTAAAAAAAATATAATATTTTCTATTTATTTGCAGTGTTTGGCGGAATTGCGGTCCTGGCTGGAGATTTCGTTAAACTTTTTGTTATTGTTGTTAATTTTTTTTTTCATTATTTATTATTAATTTATCTTATTATTATGTTATTGTTATTATTGTTTAAGTTATTGTGTTAAAAAATGTTATTGTTCAGAAATTGTTTATTATTAATAAGTTTTACAAATAAAAATTAATATAAAAAATGTAAAATTATTTTTTAATTCGACGCGCGTTGTCGCATATCCGCGTCAGAGCTAGCCGATATCTATCCGTCGCCATTTTTTCCGCCCCCGTCGAAATCTTGTTAACCAATTCTGGAAAACAAAAACAAGAATAATTACTTTTCAATGATTATATTATTAGATAATATCTTACCGAGTACGCCTTCATAAATGGCTTGCGGAATGGCAACCGTACCGGCTTTCCCGGTAGGTGTCATGCGACGAAGCTCATCTTTGATCACCAGCATGTTGATGAGCTTCGTCATCAGTTTTTGTGGGTCCCCTTTGTATTTTTCGGTTATGTTGTCCAAATCAATTTGGACAACATAAACCGAAGAACCATCACAAAGCCGTACCTATAACAATAAGTATTGTTATTTTTATATTAGTTGTATGTATCGTGTGCGTATGAATGTATGTTTTTTTAAGCGTTATGTCCGAGTGTGCTTGGTAGTGTGTGTGTACCTGTGTGTGAGATTGCAAGAGTGCGTGAGCGCATGCGAACTAGCGTGGTTGTATGTGCGTGGGCTTGTGAGCTTGCAAACGTGCGTGAATGCAATGTGCATGTGAACGTGTATGCGCATGCATCGGTGTGTGGGTAGATGAGCTTGCAAGCGTGCGTAAGTACTGGCTGTATACAGCGGGTGTGCGTGTGTATGTTTATAAGCTTGCAAGCGTTAGTAGGCATGACCCTGTACGTCTGTAAGAGCTGTGTATGTATGTTTTTTATTGTATGAGTATATGAATGTATGTATGTATGTATGTAAGTTGCCCTACCTTGCCATTTCGGGGTTCCAGTCCGGCAAACTCCTTTCTCAAAATCCTCTTCAAAATAGCCTCCTCGTCATTATCTCCCGAATCTAAAAAATAATCATATTTTTATTAATATAATAGATTAACAATTTTTTTATTTAAATTACCTTCACTGCGCTCATTTCCAAGAATCACCTTACCATCAGTCGAAACTTCCAATTTGTTTAAATATTCCCTGTCATCTAAATAAACATTAAAGGTTAATAATGTGTATATGATAATTGTACTAACTTACCATTTGCTGCCACCAAATCCACTGCAAGCCATTTACGCCCGTATTTTGCCTCGTGCAATACTCCTACACGACGCAAATTCTCGGACGCCACGACACTGCACTCTTTACTATTTTTCCACAAGACCAACGAAAACATTCTTGCATGCGCATGTAGTACACAACACTTATTTGTTTTGAAAATATTATTCAATAAACAATATGAAGTTATCGTTGCTGGCATTTAGTTATTCTTTTATGCCTCGTTCGAAATTTCATCAATGTTTTTATTCATTTTGTACAATTCATGTTTTTTACAATACAAAACAATGTAATGCATTATTACATTGCAACGTATTTTTTAATAATTTTATCCATATTATTATTGATATTCATAATATCAAAATACGTCAACATAACGGCTGCTAGCAGTAACAGGTCAAGAGTTGAGCACTTCTGTCACCTGTTGATTAAAATGCGCGAGTCGACCTCCCTTCTCCGTCGCGCGGCCCGTCGGCCGTAGCCAGCCGCTCATTGGCTGACATTCAATCGCGATTATCTAATTGACTAATTATCAAAAAAAAATTTTAACTGTGCCATCTTATTCCATTTTTCAAAACGAATCGAATGGTACCAAACTCTTCATATGTTTCAGAATCAACCTGTATACGTATCTCCTATAATAAAATTAAAATATTAAATTGGAAAAGAATGAACACGAAACAAATATCGAATTGTGAAATTCGCACGCGGCCGACACCCCTATTATGATAGCGAGCGACAACTACCCCCTTTAGATTTAAATAATAATTTAACTGACCGAATTTGAACCTCTGACAAAATTCACTAGTGACGTCACGACCAATAGGCAAATTAGAATAAAATTTGATTTCCGTCCGGATAGACGAATAGATAAGAGTAGGGGTAGATCTTTTCCGACAATTAATGATAGTTACCTTAGTGGGGGGTGAGAGAGAGTAAATAACGACGAAAGTAGGAGAGTTAAGGAGGGCGCTGTATTATTCTAATTTACATACGGACCAATGATAAAAATTCGGAGGGCGCTACCGATATCCGAATTAGCATACCGACCAATAATAACATTTCTTCTCGGAAAGAGGAGAAGAGAAACGATCTTTGACCGCGAGAAGCCGATTCTCGTCCATTTTTCCACTGGATATCTGCAAGGAAGGAAGCCTCTCTAACAGCTAATCGTTGTCAGATTTTTTTTGCGCTAGACGCCTCAGATATCTTGCCAATTTATTTGCTAATACCGCAAGGAGAAAATTGTAAGTAGGCAAAGTGCCACTCATTTTATTTAATCGCGGAGTGCGGGTTAGATTAGTTAATTTATTTAGTTCAGTGCCGTAGGTCGTCGCGACGCGTGGATCCGTCGACGCCGGTGCCTATCGGATCGTGCTGACCTGTCCGCCATTCCGTGAATATAAATTGAGTGTTCGGTTTATGAAAGAGAATTGCGATTCAGAATCCGCGCTGACCTTTCGTTTACCAATTATTAAGTGTTCGGATTACGAAAGAGAAAATTGCGACTTGGTATTCGCGCTGACCTTTCGTCAACGTTTATTAAGTTCGTTTTACGGAAGAAAGTTGCGACTTGGTATTCGCGCTGACCTTTCGTCAACGTTTATTAGGTTCGGTTTACGGAAGAAAATTGCGATTTATTATTCGCGCTGACCTTTCCGCCATTTTAGGAACCGAGTGTGAGCGGTAAGATCGGACAAGGGAAATTCGCGACTGAGTTATTTGCGCTGACCCTCTCTCTTTATTAACCGAAGACCGACCGGAAAATTATTAACGTTCCGATTAAATTGTACCTTTAAGGATTAATGAAAATTCAGAATTTTACCGACCATATTCGTTCCGACCTCGTATGTGAGAAATTTTTAATGCATCAATAAAGTGATTAGTTATCTTTATATCTATATATATATCTTACTTGATAACCCACCCCTATTGCATGCTAGCGATTTTCAGCCGCGAGCGGTTACATACGGGTTTCACTAATTCGCTATATTTTCTGGTCACTCGTTAGGTGAAATACGCGCGATTTCGAACGTCCTAACGACCTGACTTAAGGAGTCATCATCTGAGCTGCCGGTGTACCCTAGTCAAGGAGAAATCGAAGGAGAGTTGGACACCAAAGGCCTGAAGTTAGGATACCACGCGTATTCCCCCCATCTGCCCACTCTGCGCAGTCGCCGTTAGGCAGACCGGGATACGCATAACCCTACTGGCCTTACCCCCGACGATCGCCGTAATTAGCCGACGGTCTGGCGCCCTAAATAATCGGGGGTAGAGCCCAACAGGCCTTGTGGCGGAAGAACTCGGAGCACGGTCAACACCCCCGAAATTCCCCGCCACAAATGCTATATAATATAGGTCTTGAACGACATTAATTCATCAACATGGATTATCAATAATAGTAGGCTTGTTATTAATGACACCGGATCTGCTTTCCTATAGGTAAATTGGTATTCTGCCGATGAGTGAAATAACGTTGTTAGTTTTTTTTTTTTTTAAATAAAGCATTTATCCTACTCTTCTCTAGTGTATTCGATAGTTAGTATCTTAAATCATTCATGTGGGACAACAGTACGAAGCAATGACTGCTATTGTCTGTTAACGGACCTTGCAAATATATTTATTTGAATTGTTTTGCATATTTTACATATTTTACATAAACGTAACGATAGCTACGGTGTCGCATCGCGAGCTTTTACTCAAGCCTTATATACATCCATTATCGATCACATATTTTATGAGTAGATTATATGAATTAAAGTGTAAATGCTGTAAGCCGATTAAAGTACAATTATATGAAGCTATGAAAATGTAGGTCTCCAACGACATTTATTCGTGAATAACAATGACTATTAGTAGTATTAATATATTTTATTACAAGAATACACTGGAAAAAAACACTAAAATATTTTCACTTTAGTGTTTATTCAAAAAATGAGCATTTTTGACAAATCGTTGAATGTCTTTAACGGAACAATCGCGGTAAAATGAAGATTCTATGGCTTTTAAACACTCTTTTCTACTTGGAATTGTTTGCTTTCTAATATGATTATCAAAATTTTCGTATATTTTAGCTGGGATTGTATTTCGTTGACTAGTTTTGATAGTATCATCTTTTTCAAGACGCTTTTCCATCATTTTTTTTCTCATCATATGTATACAAGTGCGTGTAGAGGCTACATCACGTTTTGATAATACTAAATTTTCTTTCAACATTTTCTGGATTTTGGATCCACTTATTTTTAATTTAGAATCTTTAATTTCATCAGCAAATGTTTCACGAACTATTTGAAGTTCGCTTTCAAGCCACCTGCATTTGGACTTTTCTAAAATGAAAAGATAAAACACAATTAATAAAATGTTATTTCAATATATTGCAGATGTAAGTAGTAATTAAAAACTTAAGCTGTGTACTTTGTTACGTAAAAAGCATAGACAGGGAAGCGGCGTGTAGAGA